AATACTTTGACAGCTTTTTGTATCAGCTTTCCATGGAATGGTGCTCATCAACCTGACAGTGTCAGTTGGCTTCCTATTTTAATGAATGTAACACTTGTAAATATATATCTGTCAAATGTACACATATCAGTGCACCCTGCTACTCTGTAAGAAAGAAACCTGAAGGATGTATACTCATCAAAGGAGTATAATAACTGTCTAATGGCACTATGTAAAAAAATGCTTACCGTAAGTAGTGATAACTCCATAGGGAGCTGCTGGATAGATGTGCCTTTAGCGCCCAGACACCACCATTCTACTAAGATTAGCTCTATTACACAGAGCATGTTTTTGTTTTGCTGATTCTAACCTGGATTATAATATTGTAATAATGTGTTATCCTGTGATTTTCTTTCTATTTATGTCCATTTACTGTGTCCAGAGTAAAGCTTCCTGTTTGTTACTGCCTATAGGCACACTTCTACTTTACCTAATGGCAAATCCAGACCAGGATGGTTAGCATTGCTTGCGTGATTCTTCCCACGTGGTGCCTCTTACTTGCAAAATCTGACAATCCGACAGTGCACTGACTAGATATTAAAAAACCTACCTAGGTGCACTCGTTGTGCTAGAATATAGTTCTACATTTATCCAGGAAAGGACATGGGCTCAGAGAAGAGACACACCGGGCCTGAAGGAGAAGATGTCAGCAGGTTGAGCATTCTTTTACCTTATTGTATTTGTACATTGATCAATACTAAAAACCACAGGGTGAAACTTTTACTAGTTTTCAGATTACTCATTTGTTTTTCTCATTTCAGTAGGAACAGTGTCTCTCCATTCTAGATGTCGTTAGCAGTCTCGCACCTCTAAAAATCGCTAAGGAAATCCAGTTTTAAAGTCATTAAGAGCATTAAAATAGACCTTCACCTACACGCAGTTTAATCCATTAATAACACGTTGTGTGAAGCAGAGATAATGGAACTTTTCCACTGCGAAATTAAAGGATTGGAAAGGAAAAAATACAAACTCATGAGACCTGGTAAAAAAGAAAAGAGAAAAAAATAAAATAGCTTTTTTTTTTCCCAATTTTAAATTATTGCTATTATTGAAAAGAAACAACCTGGTAGCTTGCAGAGTTTACTATATTAAAGAGCTGAAGCTCATGTTGGGCTTATGTATAAGAATTTAGTTCTCTGTTCAGACAATCTGTACATCAATATTTCTGTGAAATAGTACAATTTGGAGTTGGTCTTTCCTTTGGGGAATTTCATGCATGTGAACTGGTCCTGGTGGGAATAGAGACACTGAAACAATGAAATGTAAACACAACAACAGGGGACTATCTTTGTGTAGTAAACTTTAAGAACTGAATAGATTAATAAAAGATTACAAAAGCAGAAGAATGAAATGCTTATAGCATCACTACACCATGCTGAGCATACATCATCCCAAACTCCTGTGCCTACATCACTGCTGCATGCTACGGTTGACCTGTGGTGTGTATATGGGCTACCTTCTAACGTGTTTCCGGGGCCAATGCCTACAAAAAATTGTGATAAATGCCAACTCTAAGCTAAACTTTACAACTATATAGTAACAGCCCCTTTTAATGAAAAATCGTGTTCTCTTTTCTTTGCTATTCTAGGTAACAGAATCTATTGTAATTTGGAAAGATACATTTTTTTTTTTATTATTTTAATGAAAACATTACTAGGACAAAACTGAAATGTGGGAGTTACATAACAGTGGCCAAATAAAACATACGGACATATCCAACGAAGAGATTTTATTTTTTCATTTCTACCTTTGAGGAGGTATTTTTTTTAAACATATGCCAGCAATGTGAACCGAGAGCACATGAAGCAGGCATATGCAGTTGCTGTAAATAAACACAGAAATATATATTTTTTTTGTTAGCTTTCCTCTTCATATCCTCATGGAAATGGCCGCCTCTGTGCTCTGTGTATATTACAACTGAGCTCTCTCTCAGCACTCCACCCCCCATTCAATAGCATTCATAGTGGCACCCCCCCCCCCCCCTCCCTCCCCT